TTAATACTTCCCTAAATTTAAAATTTCATTTCAACTCCACCCAATTAATTAAAAATCGTCCGTCTCGTGATTTTGAAATTGTTACTTTTAGTTAGATTAGTAGATGTTACCTCCTTCAGAAAATACCAGCTAAACAATATTATTCAGCCCCAGGATAAGTTTGCATCAATACACAGCTTCAATGCGATTAAAGCCAAGTTAAATTTTATGCAATGAAGATATATTCCATGATATAAAAATAGCTCTAACAAGTCGAATCAAATCAAGATGTAGTCAAACACTTTTATTCATTATGTGGAACGTTATCCCATGGTTCGTAACTTACATTTTGTTGTCGTTATTGTTGATTATAGGGACTTGTCTCACAACCAATTAAAGAATCTATCTTCAGAAGTTTTTAGCAGAATTTACCTCCCCCGCTATTATTATCTGATGCTGTAAGTAAGACTGTTAAACTTTGATTTTATAATTGTTTGATGAGACCAAAAGTAGATCAAGGTCTACACCTTACCCAGGTAAGTGTCTGGATGAAATGGGAGGAAGAAAGGGTGCATCGATGCTGAGCTGACTCCTCCCCAACCCATGAGGTGTTGCCTACAGGAATGACAGCGAGGGGCCGTACATGCCTGGTGAAAACCATTAAGCGACGTAGATCTAAGCCCGCGAAATTGGAAACCATCATTTCTTTCTGTCATAAAAAAAACAAAGCAAAACAAAACAAAATACTAGCCTCTCTTTCATCGTGCATACGGTAAAAGTGAGGACATCGTGAAAATTTACCCGTCATTGAACGTGATCCGCCGGGTAAATGAGATTGTCGAAAGAAATAACGTCATCTTCTGAGATAAACGTTTTATAAACGTGGGCGTAAGTCATCAAACGAAATCAAGCACATGCATAGTCACGTGTTATTTGAACAAGTTCGGTCCTTTAATTGGTCAGTTCCGTGTTATATATCGTTTGATTTCCAAATTTTTAACAGTTCATTATTCTCTTTTGGTTGATTTTGATCCGTCTATCATAATACAGGGCCTTTTCATTTAAAGTAATAGCAGCTTTGACTATTTCGTTCAGATGTTGAAAGTTCATTTCAACTTGGTATCGTACTCTTGATTCTAGTGTTACCTCTGGCAAAATTGCACATTTTTTCAGATATTTTTTTGACCATAATTTAACTTTCTCATGGCAATTGCGGCTCATCATGTGACCCCAACTTTTGTTCCTCAATGATTTCCATAACATGCACTAGGCGCTCTAGTTTGTGAAAAGTACGGCGTCACTGAGAGAAATGATATGACTTCGTGAACGCCTTTAGTCGAGCATCATGACGGGATACTCAAGATAAATAGCCACTTATTAGACAGTAAGATTGTCGCTCTCGGTGACGGAATGGAGACGTAATTGATCATGCAAGCGCTTAACCGAAGAGTCTTACCTCGCGGTGGTGAGGGGGCGGGGCGGAGGAATTACCTCTGAGCTGACTGACTAACGGACACAGGGAAAATATCAGCCAATTATCTTTTGAAACCAGTAATGAGCATCAACTGGAATTGGAACGAGCCAAGAGAGACTCAACAGGAGTTGAATTTGCCTAGTTATTTCTTGGAAGAATGTAAATCTAATGTCAATCTAACCAGGCGCTATTAAAGCCTTAACATCTATGGGGATTTATTGAGGAATAAATAGGCGATCTTTTAGTGGGAGGTCGTAATTAGACCTTCATTATGAAAAAAATATAATCCAAAGATAGCCGGTGTATCAGTAAAAACTTTCTAATTTACACAAACTCAAAATGGTAAGTATTAGCCAGTTCAAAGTTATTTTTCAAGGTTAAATAGAACTCTAGAATCTTCCATCATGCACCGTTTTCTTCTAGCGCTTTGTACCAAACATTCAAACGGACACAAAATAACTGAATCAACTTTAAGCTGTCATGCGCTCGACTTTATTTAGCTTTTATTACCTATGTAGGTGACCAGTGTGATGCATTTTTTCTTTTTTCGGTATCAAATCAATGGGACTAAGACCTTGATCGGTGAACTTCTTTGTGTGGTTTACCCTCTTTGACGTAATGTTGCCTTGTTATCTCTCTTGGTGGAATAGTTCAAAATTGGTTTAAAAAAAAATTGGGTACAAATGTTTGATAGCGTTGAAAGCTTCGGTTCGAATTCAGGTGACACGTTATCAGAGGTTTCGTCGAGGATTTTTCACTACATTATGCCTCCGTGGCATTCAAGATGAGAAAAGGAGAGATCGCGGGGAACTGGAAACTATGGCAAGACAAGTGTTGTTTTAAAGTAATTTCACCTCTGATATGGTAAATCTATTCTGAAGTCCTCCTGTTCAAGCATTCGATTGGAGAGGATTGGCTCAGAGTGGTCATTACTTTGCCTTGTTCAGAGGAACTTGTAGTCATGGGGGAGATGGAAAAACTCTGCTCACTCTGTTCAGAAACCTTTTGACACCCGCAATCTGCTACCCGTAATTCCTACAACCCGGTAACGAGACCGAAGATGGGAAGTAAAGGTCTTTAAAGAGGATTTGCAAAATTGTGCTTGGCTTCAATTCAGGTATGGAGATAAACTTGCTAACTGTCTAGAAAGGATTTTTTTCGATGTTGCCAATTGTCATGCGTCCTGTAGATAGGCCATTTGACAAGGTGACTCTCATTGGGGCGACCGGCCGTGAAGAAGTCCGGAGAACTATGCGTTTGCAATGCCAGATCGACTCATTGGAGGCACGTACATTTAGAAAAGCTTACACACGCCTTTGTATCAGCATTTTAGCACTCAGCACCTGGTCACAAAACAAGAATGAAGTGCGAACGAACTTCGTTCTCCTGCGTAGTCGTTATCGCTACCTTCACTTGTCGTCTCTCACTTCGTAAGTGAGACCGTGACATTTGATGACCTTCTTTCCCAAGAATCCTAGTGTGAAGTGAAAGCGCCTATGATATTGTTATTCGTGGCACAGTTGATGCGGACCACTGAAGCAAGTTGGAGTAGTTCATGCAGGAGAAGGATATGAAGTGCAGTGCTTTTTTGAAACAGGGCGCTTATTAAAAAAAAACTTTGACGTTTATCTAAAAGGATCAAGAAAATGGAAAACGGACTTGCTGTCCTCGGATCTTTCCTGGCTAAAACAAAAGGCCGAGCAATCGCCGAAAAATTTTATGACGAGATCATTCGTTTGAAGAAAGTGTGCATTTACATGGACGTAATAGTTGAGAGACTGAGACCACTGTTTTTGTAATGAGGCTCTAAGAGAGCAATTAAACGAAGATCAACCACTGCAGTTGCAATGTAACAGTATCTAACAGTGCTATCGGCGAGTTAAGTGTACGAACTTATTAAAATGGAATCAATTATTAAGGGAGAAACGTTTCCTCTATCTTATAGTGAGGTTTTTCACCCTAATGTAAAACGAGGTCGTCCCCACCTTTACCGGTTCGCCCCAACTCATTAAACTCGTTTGTAATGCTGTTGAAGTTTTTGGGCTAGTGAGAAGTTCGAAGGTAAGGCAAGATAACTAGTCCTTAAATTTTGCCGCGCAAAAAGGAGAAAATTATGTGAAACTCGTTAGATTAAGACTGGAGTAACGCAGCGGGTTTGCATTACTCATACACAAGTCGTGCGTTTTTAACACGGCTTGGATTTGCATGTAAAAAAATCATCTTGGCCGCAAAACATACAACGACTTGGACATGAAAAAAATACGGTTTTGTGGTAGGGAAACAAATCAAAAGATTTGGGGGCGAATTGATAGAGGTGGGTGTGAACTTGTTTTACGTTAGGCGGCGAACTCGAAAAGGGTTATAAGGGGCGAACTTGCAATGGGGCGAGTTCACCATAATCTCTTTCCTGCGGTACACTTAGTTTGACGCACATACAGAATGTCTCCAAGCCTTCAAACCAGCTATAAAGTTCATTTCATCGGTCTTTGCGCAGTGATCGCAATTTATTTCAATCAAACGATTTCCTGTAGTAGTTATTTGCGTTGTCGTTTTTGTCACCATTTGGGAAGTCGTTTAGGAGGCACCAATTAACACTCAATGGAATTTCGCCACCATGTTAAGCTGCAGGTTGAAAAGTTCAAGAACATTTTGTAGCGCACAGAAGTATGTCAGAGGGCTATCCCCAAAGGACAGAGCTTTTTAAATACGAGTATGCGACGTAATTTTCTAGACAGTGTATAAGTACTCGAATCTAGGATAGCCTTTTAAGTATTTTTTGGAGCATTTCAGAATTTCAACAAAGTTTTACAAATAAAATCTCGCGTGAAACCAGGCTCATTACAACCCCAGAGACTGTAATCTTGGTACAGAATCCTGTTAATCTCACTTTCTAAAGCGGAATAACAGTGGTCAAATCCATTATTATCAATTATAAACAGTCACTAAAATACTTTTCTTCATGAAAAACCTAATCAGTGGATCGTAATTTATACATATAAGAAATGTTTGGTTTAAATTATGGTGGCCCTAAACAGTGGTATGTAACAATATTCATTATTGGTGAAAAACTTAAGGGTTCAACTTTTTTGTTTGCTTGACAACTAACAACTTCTCCAAAGAGTTGGCATGAAATTTCTCATGAGACTCTTATGAGAACAACTTGCTTATGATAAAAGGACGAGTCATATCTGGTGGTCTCTCCGATGAAAACATTTGCCTTTCATTAAGTAAGTGTGCTTTTCATATTTTTAAGTGTTTTGAAGAAAAATCAAAGTGCACGGCGTGGGAAACTGACAACGAGGGCAATGTTAAGACTAAGTCGAACTCTTGAAAATGGGCTTACTACTGTACGTTCATGTGAAGTATTGTGTTGGTTAACAGATAAAAGTTCTCACAAAGACCGAATCTCACATGAAGTCTACAGTTTATAAACTTAAGATGAAATCCACTCACGAGAGGTCACCAAATATTGGAAAGTTGATGCAACTTAGAGTATTTGTGGTTTAAATTCGAGATGGTTTTATTAACATTTTAGTTTCTCGATAAGATATGCACTGTACACCAATGCAACTTGGCTGGCATTGTTTTACGAAACGGCCTGAGGTGTGTGTTTCAAAAAAACTCGCCTAGTTTTTGACAGAGCGAACCATCACACAAACGTAGTCTATTGTTATTTATGACATTAACTACTCGTCATTCATTAAATCGTTCAAATTATTACACTCTTTAACACCCGTCATTATCTTCATTATCTTCCTGAGTGCCAATTGCCTCAAAAAGCCAAAGTGTCCTTCCTTCTTTTGCAAGATCTCTATAAGTTACCTATCCATGGAGACTAAGGGGCTGTGAGTTGATTTCAAGTAAGGGCAGAAGAGCCCCTGGGGACATTGTCTTACAAGACGAAAACGATCGCAGTTGTTCTGGCATCTGATTGGTGCCCGAAAATCTTTGTGTTTTTCTGCCCAATCAGAATGAAAGTATGCTTTGGAGTCCTTTCATGTGTTTAACACGGAGATGTATAAGAAGCTCAATTGCTCGCCTTGTTCGTTTAGGCCGTGCGACGATGCTTTGCTCGAGGTGAAAAGTTTCAGTCTCAGCACACAATGTAAGAGAAATCGATCAGATTGTCCGCGAAAATCTTACCAGAAATTATACTGAATACTTTCGCAGGTATCACAAGAGATTTAAAGTATTTAAAGTTTGCGAGGTTCGTATAAAACATAATGGTGGCAGGCGTTAATATATCGCTTTAAACGTTAGACGAGATATAAGCTCAAATCGTTCTAGATTTCTCGTATAAATTGCTGTGAGTGATACTTTGCTAATCCCGTGAAGTTATTTTGTCGCACGGGCTACGCAGGTATGTCAAGCAATTGGCGCTTAGGCTTACGTAGCTTTCTGTGCGCGCCAAAATCTAACCCCTACGCAATAGTAAAGTCTTTCACAATACTAGGGCCAAGATTGCAGAAAACGTTAAGTTCGTGGACGACCTCCAGCAAGCGCTTAGAGAGAGCTTAGCTGTGTTTCCAGGAAGCGAATTAAAATCTGAACAAAAACTTACTATCGAGAACATTGTGGGAAGGAGAGATGTTTTCGGACAATTACCGACGGTGTTTGGAAAAAGCGTAATCTTTTCAGCTGCTGCCATGACAAAGGCATACCGTTTTTCTTTTTTTGGAGTCTGTCACCTCCCAGTTACAATTACGTTTCCATGATGTTTCAATTCTATAGCGACAAGTGTCGAAAATTGCACGCGGATGGCCATCGTCTGGTAGAACTTTTGATTGAAAACTTCCTTAAATATTTTCATAAACTCGCCTTTTAAGGTTTTTTTTCTCTTAATTTTGATAAAAAAAAAAGAGCATACTCGAAAACGGTCTGAAATATTTTCACTTAGATTATTAACACTCATCGTAAAAAAACCCTGAACCTTCCCTAAACAACTAGTCGAAGGAGATTTGATTTTGACGCGCACAGAAAGTACGCAAGCGTAAGCGCCAGTTGCTTGACATACCTGCGTGGCCCGTGCGACGAAATAACTTCACGGGATTGGCAAAGTTTCACTCACAGCAAATTACACGAGAAATCTAGAACAATTTAAGCTTACATCTCGTCTAACGTTTAAAGTGACATATTAACGCCTGCAACCATTGTTTTGTACGAACCTCGCAAACTTTTAAATACGTTCTCCTGTGATACCTACGTCGCACGGCCTAAAACAAACAAGGCGAGCAACTGAGCTTCTTGTACATCTCCGTGTTAAAACACACGAAAGGACTCTAAAGCATACTTCACTCTGATCGGGCAGAAAAACACAAAGATTTTCCGGCACCAATCAGATACAAGAACGACTGCGACCGTTTGGAACTAGTCTTGTAAGACAATGTCCCCAGGGGCTCTTCCGCCCTGACTTGAAATCGACTCACAGCCCCTGGGTCTCCGAGGATGCAAGTTACCTTACTTTACGCTCGTAGAGCATCTAATTGAAAAATAAATATTTCCATATATGAAGGCGGGCATGAGAAAGGATTTGGTCAAGATGATGGCTTTAGTATTTGTTTGCAGAGTAGGCCGTAAGGCCGGTAAACGAGCGGTGGAATCGCTAGTGAAGGAACTTAATTTTTTGTTTGATTAGCATACCTCTCCTGTCTCCGTCACTTGTAATGACATCAAGAAGGTGTTATTCGTGACCTACAAAATATTCTGGTACCCTTAAAAATTCGTTTTTTAACCCCCAACATCTCATTACTAATTCTCCTTGCTGACTTCTACGCAATTCTTATGATGTTAGTTTGGAGGATTTGGTATCCGATCAACTAATAATCCCCTAATTAATATTTTTCTTTATTCTCAGCTTTTGACTGCTTCATAATGTATTGAAATTGTAAGGAGAAATTCTGTTCTGGTCAATCATGGGAGTTAAGAGAGTAAAAAGGGGAAGCCTAAGTTTTTGGCAAGGTTTTTTTCAATGACATAAAAGCAGTTTTAAATTGAAAGAACTTCTTTTTGTATTTGGTAGTCCATGATATGTAAATTTGTGTCCCATTGTAACTAAAGGATAAAAATTTTACAATTTATTTTGTTGAACTGATGGCGAGTCGCTCTCGCCTTCATACCAAGCAAAAGTTGATTTATTTGTTCTGCAGTGTTGTTGAGAAACCTTTTTTCCTCTTACTTTTTTGAGACTTTTCATTGCTGATATCGCTGTTTTTATTTTTAAATAACATGCAAAAAGGCGAAGTTCAGTTTATGATGAGAAATTTTCTAAAGCAAAACAGCAGAAAAATAGAATTTTTTCTTCGCGGGGACGAAATTAAGTCTTTCCAACGCACATCGCATGTATATGCTGCGTTATTATGGTAAACTTGTTCGAGAAATTTATGGTGATATAATAAACTCGCTGGAACCAATTAGAATCAGTGTTTGACGATGGGTGCAATTATTTATAGATAAACATACAAGCGAGTGAAGAGAATAATGTCTGAAAACTTTCAGTTTATCTAAAAAAATTCATTACTCAGACTTGTGTAAGCTTTACAAATTGCCTTATTTTCATTGTCCGAATTGAAAACTGTATTTATGTATCATTGTATTACATTATCAAAAGTGGCGGCAATAAAATTTCTCACGGAGGAGGGGGTGGCTTGTGAAATTGAAGATGACCCCTGATGCAATGTCGAAATACTTAATTTCACATCTACAGTATGTAAAACATTCTTGGGTGAGGGAGGAGGGGGAAAGGGTATAAGCGAAAGCCGGCTGGTCCACATCCTGCACGATGACATCAAAATCTGTGTTGATCCACAAATTCAGAGACGTCTTGGATTATTTCCAAATGTAATATTTCTATCCCATAATTTTATCTTGACCATTTGCATCGCGAGTCCCACTTGAATACAAAAACAATCCGTTAAACCTAATCAAGCAATCTCATTTTGCGTATTTCCTCGAATAAGCAGCGGAGCGCTATTCTATAATTTCGGCTGAAAGGAGAGGCACTTATTGGGAGGAGGGCGCTTATTAAGAAATTATTAACGTGTATTGATTCAACTGTAGTTGAAAGTTAAAAAATTATAAATAAAGGGCCAAAGAAACAGGTTTTCTTTGTATCTAAGAAAGTGAGGGAGGAGTTGGGGAAGAGCTTATTCCAGCAGGGGGGACGCGCGCTTTAAACGCAATAAAACAAGCCTTTCTCCCGGTAGGAGTCATTTGGAGTTTTAAACTTCATCTTACAGCGGACATCTAACTATCTGTTTTTATTATTTCTTGTTGACAGGGACTTATCCCATAATCAGTTACAGGACTTACCCCAGGAGTTTTCAGCAGCCTTTATCGTTTCTATAGACTGTAAGTACTGACTAACATTATCTTTATTCATCACGGTAACGTCCACACGAGTAAGTCGAGGGCCCGAAACAGTTTCACGCAGAATTCCACTACTTGCAAATGAAAACGTACAATCGGTTGAGAAAAAAAATAAAGGCGTGCAACAAAACACCGTCTAATTCTTCACTCCTCCCCTCAAAAACCCCAAGACCCGCCATGCTAGGACCAGAAACTGGCCTCAAAATCAAACTCAACCTTGTATCAAGGGTGGGGTAGGGGAGGCAAAGACCAGAACCAGGTAAGTACAAGTTATACAAGACTTTTTGCCACCTTATCTTAGGTTTTCAGCAGTTTGTAGCCCCCAGGAGCAGTTGTTATCAGAGCTCAGTTACGACATGAAAATCTTGTAATGGGAAATTCATTTGGTTTCGGGTTCGGGTGCATTAATCATTAAGTGACTCGGTAGTTCGTTCAGTTTACAAGACATAATTGTTATTTATGTAATGTAAATAATACGGACCGACCTAGGTTGGTGAAAACCATTTGTTTTGAAGAGTTAAACAAATGCTTGCTAAAAGAGCGTTTATGATTAAGAACTTTATTTACGGCAAGACCCTCCCGGCTATAAACTGAAAAAAAGTTCTGGCGAGTAGATAGTATAGAAAAAAAGTTGATGCAAATCAAAGAGAGAGGCTTCACTCAAACAGTTTTATTTGCGTAAAGATAAAGGTAATTTAAAGGGCTTCCAAGCAATCTTTGTAACATGACTATCATGACGATGTATTCTTTAAAAACAATCAGTGATGTTAAGGAGAGTATTATTCAGTTCCATCGGCGATTAATCCACGTAGATTTACCTCTGTTCAATTTTAAGTGACAAAGAAAGTCAGTGTCATCATTTTTAAATGTATGTTTTGAAGTTGTGAGAGTCTGTTCGTTTGTTTGCTGCACCGGCGTGCGCAAATCTTGTCCTTCTTCCACCGAAAAACTGAAGTCAAGTGAGACACTATTCAGACACAAGAGATTTCATGCTGCATTTATTCATGCCATGAAAATCCCTCGGTTTCTGTTGTGCAACTTACAATAGAAATGTCCAAATTTCAATGGACTTGCCAAAAGTGTATTTGTAGTAGATCGTAGAACTCAAAACATCGCTTGGCGTTTAAAAACGATCAAACTGTTTTGGCGATTTCGAACAGTTAGTTAAATTTATTGTAAATGTGAACAAGTACCTTGCTTTCCGAGTTGCTGTTGGTGAAGGATTTTTAAGTTACAAACGGTTTTTAGGCCGCGTGTCAACCCATTTTATAACTCATAATTTGCAACCACAAATTTGTCATTTGGAACCGCCCTTAGTCTTGCTACTTGAATGATTACCCTTCTCTGAAAGTTGTTTCACTATTTCATGACGGAGACTGAAATTCTTTTAAAACCACCTACATCGTAACAGCATTTATTTACGTTAAATTAGCGACGCAATACATCTGAGAATACAATCAATAAGTAAAATGTTGGCACCAAACGTGTAGCTTCGCTATCACTCGACCATCATTAGGGTGATTCATTATCAAACTCACTCCGATCCATATACCAAGAAAAATAATT